AATGCCAAATCCAATCTAAACATCTGGCTTATCATGCAACCAAACCTTATAATAATAAAACCAGTGGGACCACAAAATAAACAAAGTTATACAAAAGGCTGCATTAACAGAGGGTCTATCCCTCAAGATCAAGTGAAGGGTTAGTACCACTTTATAAGGCCTTGGTAATACCACATTTGAAACTCTGCATCCGGTTTAGGTTGCCACAATAATTTTTTTTAAAAAGATGTTGAGACTCTAGTGGAGAGAAGAACAACCAAGATGATTAAGGGACTGGAGGCTGAAACATACGTATGATGAACGGTTGCTGGAACTGGGCATGGCTAACCGAGTGAAGAGAAGGACCAGGGAAGACATGAGAGCCGTCTTCCAATATTTGAGGAGCTGCCACAAAGAAGAGGCAGTCAACCTACTCTCCAAAACAGGACAAGAAGCAACGGGTGGAAACTATTCAATGAGAGAAACAATCTAGGAGAAATTTCCTGACAGTTAGAGCAATTAATCAGTGGAATGGCTTGTCTTCAGAAGTTGTAAATACTCCAACACGGGAGGCTTTCAAGGGTAGATTGGACAATCATTTGTCTGAAATGTAATAAAGTCTTCTGCTTCAGTAGATGATTGGATTAGAAGACCTCCAAGGTTCCTTCCAACTCTGTTATTCTGTTAAAGAGAAAACAGCATCCCTACCAAAAGTAGGGCAAGTAGGGCAAATATATAAACAAGGATGAAACTCTACACACAAGTACTGAGGATGTTACCTAGTTGGGTAATGAAAGGTCTCCAAGCAAATAACCAAGCTCAGATAGCACCAAAGACTCCAAAGCATATTTTTCCTTTGTTTCACAATAAGAACCCCCCATCTCCTTTTCTCCTTCCTTTCCCTGATTAGTGATTTAATCATGTTTGTTTATTTCTTATTCTTATTTCTAGTGACTCCCTAATTACATAGTATTTGCTTTGGCCACCATTCTTGTATTGTTTAGCTCTCCCCCACCCCAAAAAAAGTTAGCTGGGTCCGTTCTTAAAACTTGTCTCTACAAAAGGCTTCTTGGGATTGCACAAAATGTCTCCTTTTGCATTATGCAGTCCCAGGCATGGGAGGGATATGAGGGAGAATTTTTCAGGAATTGTTGGGTTAGGATTAGCGCACAAAGCTTTTCTGTAAGGATTTCCACGTGGTCATGTTCTTTAAGAAGATAAGACTTGTAGATGATTGGATGGAAGAAAGAAAATTCAGGACAAAGAATTGACTAGGGCAGTTAACTGGGAAAAATCCAGACCCTGGAGTCTTTTCCTTTTTTTATTGCAAACATGGTTAATTTGGAATATCCTATTCCTGATGGTTTCACTGAAAGTGAAGTCTTCACCATTGGCACAATTCTGCTGTTTGAAGGTAAGATGGGCTGCTTTAAAGAGTCAGAAGGCTGTTTCTGCCATTCCCTGCCATTTCAGAATTTAAGAATGGAACAAGGAAGAATTTAAGACAGAAATTACATTTATGCTTTGACTATCTCTCTTTCCTATGGATGCTTCAAAGCCTTCAGTTTGGACAACCTTGGTTGCTTCTGGGCTTAATTTTAGTACATGTGTTCAAGGCTCCAAAACATTCTAAGGAAGTATCTAAAGAAGCATCTCTTCCTACTCAATGCTGCTCAAAATGTTTGTGATACACTATGCAATGTCAGTGAAGAGAGGTGTGTTGTTGTAACTCTTGATTGTGGAACCTTCACCCCTCTTCCTTTCATGTGTGCAAATACATTACATAGTCCTGAATATTAGAGTCTAGAGACTAAACTGTACAATGAACGATTGAGGGAACTGGGTATGTGCAGCCTAATGAAGAGAAAGACTAAGGGTGGTATGATAAGGGTATGTCACAGAGAAGAGAAGAGTGGGTCAGCCTATTTTGCAAAGAACGTTAGGGCAGGACAAGAAGTAATGGGTGGAAAATTATCAAAGAGAGATTCAAACTAAAATTAAGAGGAAATTTCCTGACAGTGAAAACAATTAATCAGTGGAATGACTTGCCTCTGGAAGTTGTAGATGCTCCATCACTGGAGGCTTTCAAGAAGAGATTGACAGACATTTGTCTGAAATGCTCGAGCAGGGGGGTTGGACTAGAAGACCCCCAAGGTCCCTTCCAACCCCTTTTATTATATGTTCTTTCTAGTTCACAAGCATGTAAAAGAATAAGAAACCAAGAATCTTATCATTAAAGTTGGAAGGGAATTTGAGAGTCTTATAATCTCTGGAATGCTGGTCCAGAGACCACAAGATTACCCCATGCATTGATATATGCATCTGCCTATTTTTGTATCTTACTTCATCATGGTTTGTCTTGTGCAAACCATGGTTTGATAGTGCAACCCATCTTGATAATAGAGAAAAGGCAGAATAAAATAGAACATAGAATAATGGGGTTGGAAGGGACCTTAGAGATTTCAATTTTCAAATTTAATGAATTTATATGCCACCCAATCCCGAAGGACTCCGGGCGGCTTACAGAAATACAACTCTAAAAAGGATAAAAATTAAAAATAGAGAAAAAAGCAGATTAAAAAAAACACATCATGCACTCAATCTAGACGGGGCTGGACCTCATTCATGAGGTCAACAGCCCCAGGCCTGCCGGAATAGCCAGGTTTTAGTAGCCTTTTTAGAGTTGTA